TGTCTAACTGGACATAAATAGAATACATTTCTATACTTCATAGTGGCTTCAGTGGTTTCACTACTCTGTCAGTCAGTATGTTCATCAAATCACTGGAAAGAACCTAGATTTATTATTTGTATTGGTGAATCGGAATTCGGTAAAGCCCAAAAACTGCCATTTGTGTAAAAAATCTAGTACCACATGATAAATATTCACGTGCTAAGTTTATTGATTCTTTAATTCCTACTACAACAGTTATAAATAACAGAAAAAATGTAAAATAACTGTGCTACCTTGAGGCACAACTTGAAATACAAGAAAAATAGAACAGTGAAACAATGACCAGTTCCAGTTATAAGATATTGTCATCTGTTCTGTTTATCATTCCATCCGTTATTTATGTAAGTATGCATTAATCGAATTATGGAATTTTTTGGAATTTCTCTCATTTACACCGAAGCATTTTATTTTGCAACATTTCCATAACATATATCTATAGAAATAAAAACGATTACACTGATCAGGCTGGTTACTTAGGAAAACAGTAAACAGTTTTTTGTAGATAATTGATTATTTGTTTATTTATGTTTATATATGCACTCTTGAAAGCAATGAAATGCTGGGTACTGTATTTACTTGAGGTTTAATAATATTTCACTGTTTTGACATGTATGGACAACAGCACTCTATTCATCAACTGAGAGCTTAAACAATGACTCCGGTGATACCTTTAAATATTTGGGGATGCTAGTTTGTGTCATTTACAGACAGTGAAAACTTATGGTCAAAATTTAAACTCATTTGGTGGATATCTTTAAATTATTATCACTCACTTCATTATTTTTTGTTAGAGTACTTAGTTACTTGAATGAGTTTTGTTGGACATGGCAACTGAATAGCTATATATAAAATCATCACTGAGCACCACTTTAGTTATTTTTCCTTTTTTGAAAGATACTATCCGTTTGCTAAAAATGGATGCTGAATAATAATAATTATTATTCTATGTAGTCGGATTTAATAAATAATATTTATGGTTACTAACGTTGAATCACAAATTGTTTGACAGCAAAATGATGTTTGGTGTGTACAAATGATGTTTACCGGTGACAATAATATAAGGTGGGGTTTCATTCCATGACGGCGTCAAAATTCTAGTAATGGTGTTCAAATTTTCTCTTTCATTTTCTTTAAAAAATATAACAGATCAGTGTATTTTGAAATGGTAACGAATATGAAAATATGTCATTTGTATTCTCGAACGTCAGATAATTGGTAATTGCTTTTATCTTAAGAGCATAATTATGTAGGATAATCTTTCATGTGAAGTATTATGTTAGTTTCTGCTAACTCTTAAAGGATTGTACTATGTATTATGAACTGTTTAAGCACATGTATACATATTTATGAAATTTACATTACCTATTAAAATACTGGGGAACCAAAACCGTTTTGATGAGAGTAATCGACTAGGTTTGCATACTAATGATATTTGATAAACGTGATCTGGTTAGATTGTGATATGTTATGAATCCTTTTTGTGTTAAAGTATAACAAGAAGGATATCAGATGAAAATAACAACACGGTTGCTATCTCTTTATGTGATGAGGTCAATGATAAGTGAAAAAGATTGTTGTATGCTGCTTCATTTCTGCACAGGTTCTATGTTAAACATCTAATGATATAATATGACACAGTTCACCTTTATTTCAATCATAGCTGACAATCATAGTGCTGAAATGCCTTTTCTTACCTAGAGTGATGAACCTGATTAACATTACTACATATATCGATTTATAAACTTACGCTTTCACGTCATATCATACCGGGAAAATCATCTAATTGTGAATGGATCAAATTATGAGTCTACAGTTTATGTATTTCTGGATTGATGATACTCAAACGTAACAAAGATAAAGTGTTCTAATTCCAGATGATATTACTAGTCATTAAATAATAAATCTTTAATTTAGCAATAGTTACAATAAGTCCCCACGAATTTATTCTGACAGTCAGTTTTATGGTAAAATTCATAAAGTACCAACGAACGATATTTAGAAATAATAAAAAAATCAGCTAATTTTAAGCATTGTAGGACCTTAATGTTAAATTATGTAACAGTAAAAAAATTTTGACAATGCGTTACTATATCTGTCGTTCATCAGTTGAATGGGTCATATTATCTTCCTCTCATTTTTATTTCACTCTGCACAAATTAATGACTCAGCGACATTTCTCATTTTGTTTATGTTGACCTGAGTTTATAATTCACTTATTAATGACAAACGTCTTCATTGTTTAATTGTAAACTTCATTTCTTATTGACAAGAATGTTATTCTGCTTATTTACCAGTTTATACATAGCTGGACATATATAAACACAGAAATATGTTATCAGCTTATAGTTGATATTGAATTGATGCATTCTAAGTATAAGGTAGAGGTCAAGAATTTGATTTTATTAGTTTTAATGCTTTTCATGTTATTGGTTATTTTCGTTCTTCATCATTTTCGTTTGGTATTTCTCATGTGTTCTACTTCAATTGTTGTAACTGATTTATTTTCATGAGCTAATTTTTCTCGTGAACATTTTTGTCGTATTTTTAGTTATTCAGTTACTTCATAAACGTCTAAACATTGTCTAGGAAATTTGTTAATGAAGCCTTAGATCTATTAGGATAGAGTAGATTATAGGTAGTAGTGTATCTGAAATAATTCTATAAACAAACTGTTACTCAATGTTAAATTTCTAGTATAATTGTTCAAATTTATTTACACTGGTCAAAATGAACACATTCTTCAGTGGTTATACATCCTCTTTGTCGGAAAATAATAATATTCTAAGTTTTGTGAGCTGTGGGTTAATGATTAAAGCATTTAACGTTTAGCTACTAAGTCTCGGGTCCAAACCTTGCTCAGTCTATTTCGGTTTAGGCAACCGAATAATATCGTTAACCTTCATACTTAGAGTATATGACTCGTATATAAGTATCTGGTGAATAACTTAACTGTTTTATTTCTTTTGTGAATGAAAATTGTGTTTAATAGCATATTGCTCTTTTTCAGTTATATGGTTAAAATAATATACGGAACCATATCTTAGATAGAATCTAACCAAGTCTGTCATGCCATTGTCTGTGACACTAAATAAGGATGTCAAAACAGATTGTCTTTTAGACTGATTTTCGAAACGAAATTTGGAAATGAATGATTGCTGAATCAAAGATTTAGTGTTACACCTAGTTTTAAACCGAATTGAGCATAACAGGGCAAATTGAACACAAATAAAGATGTCCGAATAAGTGAAAAGATTGGATAAAATCGATTCCGCGGCTGAAAGAATCCCAGCTAAACTAAATTACCGATAATCTATATAAAACATTCATATCTACACATAATAGTACGTTTGAGGTTTTCATTACAGTAACTTTTTATTTACCGCCTATAGTGAAATTTATGAAGATAAGAAAACATATAAACTTTCCATGCTACGACTGCTATTCAGAGAGCTATAACAGTGTGATAATAAACGATTGATAATTTACTACATGATATTCAGTGTGATGAATTAAAAAACACACCTTATAGATTTACACCTCTGTAAAGTGTTAGTATATCAGGCCGAGTAGCATGACTGATATGCGAGGTTTCAACAATCACCAACTTTGTTTAAATCTCAGATGAACTAAAGTTTATATAACTGACCTCATTGACCAATCTCACTTGTTGAGAAAGATCATTAACTACTGATGGCCATGGTGTGATTTTATTATTTTAACACACTGGGAATCACAGACTACAAGGATTTGATCCAGCTAATCAATTATAACCTCAGGTAAATGAGTTCTACGCTGGATTTATGTAGCTTTTAAGATCAGTGTTTTGTTTTTAGAATATTTCTTAGTCACCTCTTATCTTGAATTTACTTTTATGAAACATTTTGTTCCGAAAATTGGAAACAGAAAGTTTGGATAGTCTGTATTATGTACTTTCAGTAACTAGTTTTGTGAAAGCTTCACTTGTATCACAAATGTTATCAAATATCTTATTGAAAATAATGTAATTTTAACTACGTGATAAAAAATCACTCTGTTTGCACCATTTCCAAACGTCAGTGTAATTCATTAAGATATTGGTATTGTGTAAACTCGATATTCATATAGCGTGAGAGTGAAAATGAACACCGAGGAAACTACAACCGGCGATCCTCTTTAAGCATACATGTGCATCAATAAGATATAATCCCTTGTTTCATATATGCGTCTGTCTCGTTTCTGTAAAACGTATATCTCAAAGTTTTTCAAGCTTTCTAAGGAATATTGGTTTAATTACCATTAAGATAAAGGAGAATTTGTTTTTTATTTAAGCTATTTTCAAGTAAAACACGTTTGTTTGTTTTTCCGCGAGGCGTGTCAGCGAATACGTTAGTAGGGAATAAAACAGACAACTATTTATTTATAAGTTACAGATGACAGTTATATGTTGGAATGTTCTGTTTTTTGTCTCATCTAAGTATACTGATATTGTAATCGTTTTGAATGGGCTCCACAATTATCGTGATGTTGGTCAAAAAAGTCCACCACAATTCAGTGCCTTCATAATGTGAATTATTTATTTTGGTTTGCAATGAATTAGTGCATTTATTTACATTGGGTTCTGAGATTTATCTTTTTCTATGATTTTGTGAATTATTTTAACGAAATGTTCTATGAAGACAATTTTAGCCACAACAGTGAATGAATCCTACTCTCATTCAGGCTCGTGGTCCTCCCTCCTATGATGTTTCGCCAACCCCATTCGGAAATATAGGTGTTTGAATTTCGACAATATTCCTTCTATATTGTGAAATTAATCGTAACAGTATTCTAATTAAAAACAACACATATTGACATTTGTATTTACTCATTCGAATCTGTTGCATTTTCAGTCAATATTTAATTCTAGTTATCAGAGAGACTTTGAAAACTTTCCATTGATAATATTTCTGGTTTTTTCTTTATCCCAAAAATTATATAAGCCTGATGGAGAAGATCAGGTGAAGAAACGCCAGCTTATGGAATTAGCAATTATCAATGGTACTTATCGAGCTGTGAATCAACGTTCCATTTTCCTCCCTTCAACAAATTTAGCAAGTGAATTACCTTTGAGGGATGAGGATTTACACCAACAATATATAAATGAACATGTGATAAGGCGCTCTCACAGTCCGATCGATAATTCAGATATAGCGTTCAATCGTGAGTGATAAAGTGCATGCGTTGAAAAATATCTGTACCATCGTTTGTTGTTCGTGTTATTTTTTGTGTAGGAACGAAAAGATTTATCTCGTAGTTGGTGTTGGTTAAGGGTGCATGCGTCACTATAGTAATTTTGTACATCTTGAGTTGTTTGTCATCATTTCGGTAATTGGTTTTCATTTAATGTTTTTAACTCAATTGCATGATTTGGAATGTTTGACATACCTACTTGATCATATCAAAATGCTTCATACTTAATGATTAGGTACTGGTTATTGATCAAACTTGATTTCAGTAGAGTGTTCAGTTTCCAAAGGTCGGAATCATTAAGTAGTCGTAAGTATCTCAGATTTCATAGGGCTTCTTAGTAATTTAAAGGTGATCATTGAAGTCAGATAAAGTTATAGTTCGTTAGCGGACTGTTGACATTGATTCAGGTTTTCGTTTATAATTTTGTCCGTATTTATTTAAGACTCTTTATCAGGTTGAAGTGTTTTCATTCTCGTAGTTCAAAAATTGTTTTTTTGTGGGATTTGCAAATTCCATTAAAACCCAAGCTGGCTATTCAAAGCTAATATATATTCTCGAGCCCTTCAACTGATGTCTCTTCTACTCTTATTTTTAAGAATAATAAACTGAGATCTCATTATATGTTCGAATACGATTGCAACATACAGTATAAATTAATAGAAATAAGAATATGAAAATGTGAAGATTTAAATTCAAGAATTCTCAATTTCTTATTAGTTAGTATGAAGCAGTTTTCATTTCTCTTATTTTATTCTTATTCCGATCTTCGAAATCCTGCTACCGCTGTTTGATAAATATTAATTTTCATAGTTTAGACACGAACAGATCTTAGCTATACCAATAATAGACTTTTCTTAGTGTGGGACTCCTCAGTAGTGCACATTCACAACTCCAAATCCGAGAATTCAGCCCGTGATTGACTGAAGTTAGACAATAACACCGTTGGATACTAGCTCAAAGATCTAGAGGTTAAGCATTTGCATGCAAGACCGAAGGTCCTGGGCTTGACTCTTACACACAAGGTCATGCATGTCCACTACTAAGGAGTTCCTTTATAAGACGAAGATGCCATCCAGTGACTTTACGTTTTCAATGGTTGTTTAACTAGTATCAGTTTGTAATTCGAACTATGAAAATATTCATGTGCTTATCATATCAAACAACACGAAATGTGATATTATAAGGAGAATAATTTTTTGAACTCCCTCTTTCCGACCAAAAAAATAAAAATGATTTAATACCGGTTGTATATGACTAACACATTTAAACTCTCAATTTTAATAGTTCAACTGTTCAAAAAATTTTTAATCACACATATAAATTCTGAGAAACTGAACTCATTAAACTTGTGTTTGTTGTTCATTGCTGTATTTGTGAATATGACAGATATGACATTGACCCAATTCTACACTTTAAAATGTTCATGGTTCGTTGTACTAAAAAATAATATTTGATTTCAAAAAGTTTATAAACTTGATCCAAACAAAGAAAAACTCTAAGAAGTACTTAAAATACATAAAGTTGGTAGTTAGTTGTCAAATGACACAAGTTCTTATTTTAGTGATTCTAGAATTAGCCAACTTATCATCTATGAAGTAAATATATATTGGACATTTTTCTACTGAGTGCAAATCATTTGAATAGTGAACGTAATTTGCAAACTTTATTCACAATCCATTCGAAATTATACTATTTATCTTAAGTTTTGATGTGCTTATAAATTAAAATGAAGTGTGCAGCCCATAAGACGAACCATAACCCGTTAGTTTACAAAAACATTTTCATTTATTCAGTTTATACAATCACTAAGCGACATATTTTCACAGTTCAAAAAGCTTCAGACGAAATTCTCTTTTAAAGGTAACAATAAAGTAAAGTAGTTTTGTATTTATGATTCACACATTTGTTTGCAGATAAACATGGAGTAGTTTTTTAGTCTTGTTAGATTCCAATGAAAGTTTGTGTTACATTGAATAATATTTGATATCTGGTGATTTATTATTCTACTAGTCATTATGAACCACAGATCACTTTCCTTTCATCAGTATTTTTAATTTCAAAAATGTAAATATATTCGGAAAGTAGGTTTTTACATTGAATCTCAAAGAATTGTTTGTACGATAGTAATGTGATTCCACTTCGTGTTTTATTTGATTTTGTCTAACTAGTGGTAAAATTGAAATAAGCTGAAGAACGACTGAGATTATCTAGTAGTGGGCACTCATGAGAATACAAAGACCTGGATTCGAAATCTTCACGTTAAGGGATAGGGTTATTCTTTAGTAATAAATTGTTATCATTTCTCAACGTCAGTCATTTAACATTATATGATAATCACCTAAAGCTTATGGCCGCTGATTAACTCATTCTAAATGAAATTACCCAATGCAACTTTGGGGAATCTATCTAGAAGTTGGTTACCAGGGTGGTACTGATTAGTGTTCATTTTTGCAGCTTGTGAAGATTTCTGTTGTTCGACGATAACATTCATTCTGTATTGGCATCAGCTTAAAAAATAACAGAAAAGTTCGCTTTAGAATAATGTTTCGCAGCCGACCCACGTACCCGCCGCTCAGTTATAATCCTGACAATTAGCGAACAATCTTTTCAATTTATTTAAAGTGTATAAGCGCTTGTTTCCAACAGCGTAGTCGAGATGACGATGTCCATGTTTAAAAATGATACTTATTGTTTGTGATAGAATATCTAATTACGGGGTTTTTTCTGTTGACGCTTGAAGCTTTCGATTGTTGGGTGATTGTTGGTGATTCATTCTCTGCATAAAGTTGCGCATATCATCAACTGTTTATAAGTAGGTGATCGTTATTAATGCTTAGGTCATATTATTTATACTAATATTCATCGAAAGTGAATGAATATTTTGACAAAAATTAAACACTGGGTGTATAAAAGACGTGGAAAAGAGACATTATGTTTGATCAGTCCTACCGATTAAGATTCAAATAGTTCCAACGATTCACCCGGCAACCTAGTCCGAACTTCTTCACGGAAAATGAACGATGATTGGAATTACTTGAATTTTTGTTGTTGAATTTATTCAAATATAATTTCAACATTTACTATATGATATTAGTTTAAACAAGGATGTAAAACAACTGTGCAACTAATTTCATTTCGCCTACAACATATATATATATCTAAATAAGTCATGCTTCTGGATAAGTCTAAGGTGATTTTGAAATTATACAAAACAACACATAATTCTAATATCGATATCTGACCCAAAATTAGCTACTGAAAATGATTCCAGTAAAGCTGATTAAGTTTCACATTGAGCATGTGTACTGCATTAGTCAATGGACTTAACTACGAGACCATAATCTTAATAGTAATAGGCTTTGGATCATATTTCAGTGAACAATTTTGAGACAATTGATAGTTTAGAAAGATGGTTTGCGTAAGAATCTATGGTTCTATGGGAAACGATGTATTTCTAGTTAAGTATTTCCTTTAGGTTTTGAATAATTAAAGGAAATATGGAATGTGGTCTTGTTAGAAATGATATAAAGAACGACACTGTATAACATCCATTTGACTGTAATATCACACAAACTGTTAAGTACTTGATATTTATAAAAAGGTAAAACTGTTTAAAGAAAGTATCTAGTAAATGACTTGTTTAGTAAAAACTGAATGGAATTTCCAAATCTATCCAAAAAGTGAACTTAATGAAAACAAATCAGTATATCATCACTAGTAAAATAGAACGTTTAGTCAAGAAAATGAAGTTGAAACTATGATTAAACCCTAGGGTTCCTGTTATGGGAAAAAAATGAAATAAACCATTTTCTATGTCTGCAGTTAACAGCGGTAGTAATTAGGTAATTTGGTAAATTAGTTGAATTTTCATTTCAATTCCGAAAGCTTGGTTGAAACGAATTATATGATGTTAAAATTGTTGTAACGACTTATCTGTGTGTGTAAATGACAGAATAAAATACATTTTTATAAACGTTTTGTAAATTTTTCGATTGAGTAGTTAATGACACAAAAAATGATACTCTGTTAATGTGGAATAAATCATGAATCTGTGTAGCATTTCTAATTGTGAGCTTGTCTTGATTTATGCTTTTATCTATGATCTAAGATAATGAAGTGAACAGAGATGTCATTAACAAGCGACACTAAAAACTTGCAGCTGGATTTTTCGTTTTATTTGTATTATTGATGTATGTTTTAGTATAATTTTAACTTAATTTATTTAGACTTCATTTAATAGCTACTGAAAATGGCATGATACAACTCCATGTTTAAAGACTGTAATTTATTTTTACACTTCACTGCTTGATCGAATCATGTGAATTTCGAAAAGATGTGTTGTGTAAATAGATGACAATTCGTAATATTGGTTTCTTATGATGATAGATCATCTGCTCAAATAGTTTCCCTATTGAATGGTTATACTAGCTTAAATTAATTCACAAATTTTCTTCAATTAGTTAAGCCCATGGCTAATTCCAGTAGTAATTATTATGCTAATGTACGTCAGTAAAAAACAGCTAATTAACTTGTTTGTTATAGATTCTTTGAAATGCTGTTAAAGAGTTTAACAAATACCTTATTATTTGCTCATTATGTCTTCCTGTAATTTCAACATAAAAAAATTTATCATCGAAGAATTTTATTCAAACCTTTACTATTTCATAGCTAATTAAAATGGTTACGCTTTCTCTTTACTATTTATGGAAACCAATGGTATTTTGTTGTTTTGAAAGACACCAATAATACGGTGTAGGTTTAAGAATAATTAAAACCAGATAAAAGTACATGAATTATAATCACAAGTGTAAAATATGTAGACGTACAACAGAGTCATTTTTAATTTAATTAAACATTCATCAATATCATTTTCACGATGTTTGTATGTATGGTGATTTATTTGATATAGGTGACCAAAACTAACCTGATGATTGGAGGTTTCTTGCATGTGTTGAATGTTTTCAAACCGCTGCCTTACCTTTTTACCCTGATGCTTATTTTATAATTGTTTCTTCTTTTCTGACTCTTTTCGTTGGTGTTGTAAAAACACAATTTTGGTGAAGTCACTTCGTGTGTCTAATTTAACAGGTTTAATTAATTATGTGTATACCTAGAGTGACAGATTTATTAGATAACATTTTGCTTTTAACTTCAGATAAAGATCGTCAGCAAGCACATATTCAACAAGTTCAACAACACCAACAGCTCATATTACAACATCAGTCACTTACTGTATTAAATCATCAAGCGGCTGCAGCAGCGGCAGCTGCAGCAGCTGCAGCTCAAATATTACCATCAAATAAATATTCTTCAACTAATATTTTACCTCAGATTCAATCTCAGGTTCTTCCTGTATCACTGGCAACAAACTGTTTACTTCCTGGAACAGTGAATTCTGCATTATCTCAAGCTAATTCAATACATTCCATTCCAAATAATCAATTATCTCATTCTATCCCATCTTTTAGCTCAGCGAATTTATCTACGTATTTACCAAATAATAATATATCCGGACTTTTATATCCTTTGACGGCAAATGCAGCTTTATCTGCAGCCGTCAGTACAGGATCAGCTACAAATAATGGGCAACTTAATCTAACTCTTCCTTTAAGCCAAATCGCTGGCGGTATTACTGGGAATGGACTTTCTGGTTTATCCCTGCCGATTGGTTCTACGTTGCATGCAGCCAGTAAGTTGTTGGAAAAATGAATCAAATTTGTCTATTTACCTAAGTTCAGTGATGGCCAGATCACCATACAATATTTACCGACCGTGAAACTCAAACTTCATAATTTCTATTCCTGATAAAGTGTGCGATCTAGGCTGTTCATATAAATCAGGAATACATGTAAACAGAATTTTAGTACATCCTGATGGTTAATAACATTACCAAAAGGGCTTATAATCTGGGCGAAAGCTAGTCTACTGGTGTCACTTAGTCAAGATGGGAAAGTGTTGTGATATAATTCACTCACATTATCCAGATTTATTTTCTCCAATTAATTTTTAACAATTAAATAAGAAAGTTCACATTTTGGCTTCTTTAAGCTATCAGAGGGTACAATTTTGTACTGTTTCGCTTTTCAAGATTAAATTTGATATTTAAGATCAACTTTGTTGAATCGAACCATACTTAATTCCCATAAAATAATTCACATTATACTACAGTTGCTTACTTTTGCAAAATATAAAGATGTCAGATAATATCTGGGTATAGTCATTACTGATGAAATCATAACGTTTCTATTAATAACCTTATAGAAACAATAAGTAAAGGTTTGGTTTTAGTGGTTAAGAACATCGTACAAAAGAATAAACACTTCATCACTCACTATTATATAGAAGCAAATAAATTATACATTATTTGCGTAATATAGTTGACTATGTTTCCGATTCACCGTTAAGGATATAGCAATTTAAAAGTTATATTTCTTACTGATATGAGTACAAGTAATCTTGAAATTTTTTTACACGTATTATTTTGTTCATTTAAAGGCCATGATCAGTTAGCTGCTGTTGCAGCTGCTCTCCTTAGTGGAAGTGGAACAGGAGGTATTGGTGCAAGTAATTCAAATTTACAGTTATGCAATGGTAATGTGAATAATCCTGTATCAGGTGCTCATAGTTACCCAATCACTTCACATACATCACTTGCAGATGCTGTAAATATTCTGGAATTCAACAACGCATCAAATACACAAGAAACTGGTTCAGGTAGTTTTAAGTTTAAACTTACTTCCTTAAAGATAATATAATCTATTAAAACATGTTCTTAAAATTATATAAAGCTTTTGCCAATGCACTTTGTAAACTTCAAGGTTCTCAATATTTGTCTCAGTTCAATGTTATGCTTTACAGATATAAGTTGCTGAGGATGTGTATAAGTCGGATATGCTAGTTCCCAATTATTTCGTAGATTAGTACCGTTGTTTAGTATAAGAATAGGGTTATAGTCTCTTACATTTGACAGGTTAATTCCAGAAGTAACTTCTGGTTTTGTCAGTAATTTCAAATACATACCAACCTTAACAGAAAAAATGTTTACAGAACTTGTATAATAAAGTCATGAACAAACCTAGTGAAAATAATACACCTATTATTAGTGTTAATAAATCTGAGCGACTTATTAAGCAAACAGCAAATTCATTTAGTAATGGAAATAATACTAGAACAAAGAAAATCACGTTTTTGACTCTATAATTTTTTGAAGCTTCACAATTGTATTTATAATTATTATAAACAGATCACAGTCTATTATTGAACAATGGATTAAGATTGGGTTATTGACTAAGTGTTCAAGTATCATAACGAGCAGAAGCTATTGGATGTTCAGTGACCTTCGGACATGATTCCATGCAAATAAGTCATATTGTATGTAATTGTTTATTTTGCCCTATACTTTGATGTACAAGTGTGTTATCTGAGTAGGAACAAGTTTAAGGTGATCAGTTGTTCTTTATAAAATACGTTCATTATAGAGTTTTGCTTGAATAATTTAACTTTTTTTACATACAGTTATCGTTCAAATACTTCAGATTTCATCGTGTAGTCAATAACTCATAATAAAATGCCAGTTATATCTGATGTTTAAGTCAATAAGCAGTTGTTAGAACCTCAGTTGGAATAGATGAAATTTTCTTAAGACCAATTGTTACTGTTACAGTTAAAACTGAGGACGAAAATTTTTATACAAAACTGAAGTTGTTTATACAATGGATTGTAAGCTAAGGTCATTAATTCAAAAATCACATTGTCTAAGGAATTGGAAGTTGTTTACAGATGCGAAATATCATAGTAGATATCAACATGATAGAATCAGAGAAGACGATATAAGAAATATAGCAACATCGAAGGCATTGTAAGTAATTGTAAAACTGTTAGAAATAGAGGTTGAATTACTGGAAATTAAGTGGTCAGAGATGTAATATGTACATAAAGTAGTGGATTTAATTCACACGTAACTGTTTTATACATGCTACTGGCTAGGATCTTTTTATTTGACACTGTAATATTCTATAGAAGGTACTTATTAAGCTTTATGCAAACAACAGCATTGATAAGTACGGGAAATTATACTTTTGAAATAATTTTCCAAATTATTTATTTACGTTTGTTACGTGCGTATTATTTAAAAATGTCAACCTACCATGTTTTGTAGGACCACTTAAATTACGTTCCTTGCAAGCCACATCATCCTCAGTTTCTCGAATGCATCCATACCTAAGACAGTAATCAATGAGTAAGTTGTTTATTCATTTCTTGGCCTTATTTGGGAATTTTTCTCATTGAATTTATTGAATTTTACTTTTCATTCTCTAGATGGAACTCATTTTTACATGTTCAAAAAAGATGCATTGACGGCCTTTTATGTTTATATTCGTGGGTCTACTTATGAAAAGTGTGAATTGTTTTTGTAGTAAGAAATAAGTAAAATAAGATCGAAAAAGAATTGCATTGGGTTATCATATCAAGTTAACTTGTTTTAGTTGTTTCGTTCAGAGACCTTGAATACTACTGTTGGATCCACGTTATTGTTACAACTTATTCTTAGTTAAACAGTGTAAATTAGTAATAGGGTTTGTCTGGACCGTTGGTACAAATTGGCTTACATGATAAAATGACAGTTTACAGTCATGAGAAAAATATCTTCCTACAAACAAGTATTTGATATTCTTAGGTAAAACGTCTTTACATAGAAAAGTGTTTTTGTGATTCGCCATATTTTAGACACAAAAAGTATTAGACGATTGCATTCGTAGAATTATGCTGATTTGTGCCCTGTAAATCTGTTATTGTTGTATAATGGCAAACTATTCAATGTTTAAGCACAAAACCTGTGAAATAACTCCTTTGTTATTGTCCTGATTATTAATTGTAGATAAATGAACACCAATTATTTGCATTTGTTAAAGCTTTTAAATTCACAGAATTGATTAATACTGTCAATCGTGGAAACAGTTAATATATAACTATTTGTTATACTAAATATTTTGCTTTATTTTGCTTTTTCGATAAATAGATGACGTCATTGTTGCAAATAATACAAAATCTGCTTATATCCATGACAAATAGCAGCTGTGAATTATTGTGATTTTTAATTTACCAGCAGGCTTTCATTAAATAATCAAAAACAGTTTATGTGCTTTCGTATCACAAATGCAAATGCTTAATATCTAACCAGTTCATTTGTCTTCTCTTAGTGTACTACATGTAAATTAAATTGACTTACTCAAACATCCCTTATAGTTACTTGTTATGCTTTTATTTTCTACGAAACTTTGCTCAGAACTTGTATTATTATAGTTTTTATTACTACTGCATAGGATAGGGAAAATAGAGACTGCTATGTTAAAAGAAAAATATTTTGATATGGTTTTTTTCATAGACACTATCCATGACACAAGAGTAAATTGTCAGAGTTATTATAGGTGGGAATTTTTGACTGTACTATCAACTCGAATCTACATCATGCATACTGACTAGTATCTTTGTTGTTATTCTCAGTTATATCGATAATTTTCATCACGAATAACAATGACGGTTATTGTATGTTCAATATACATATATAACGAATGTGTTCTAATTTTGTTTTTATTTATTTTAAATAATATAAATTTGTGTGGATTGATGTAAAACAAGTTTAAATATCTTCCCTTCTACCATTACAGTAGACTTATTTTAAACTCTAACTATGTGTATATTTGATATTACTGTACTAAACGTTTCCGTTATTGTCAATTTGTCGTTTTGTGATTGTTCTCCCTGTTTTTTTCATCCTATTTTCTCTAATTCATATCATACAACAAAATGTTTGACAACCATGACAGAAAATCTAGTTATGAGACTGTTTTTTATTTGCCCGTTTTTAGCACTGCCTAAGAGTAAATTTTTATCTTCCAGCCCATATTACTTTGTTAAATTTTTTATACAGTTGCCTAGATATTTTGGTTTGACGCTCATTTCTCTTCATCTTTTATTTAAATGATTGTGTAATCGCATAACTATATTAAGTTTAAAATAAAACTTGTTTGTGAAAACTTGTCTAGATCCTTTTCTATGATGCATTACTTTTTAAAAAAAAACAAATTACATCACTTCATTTTCATTACTTGATTTCTTGTATGATCTATTGAAATGACAATATGTTCATGGGATTATTAGCAGTCAGAGTGATATTGTCTTCCTTATGAATGTACCTCCCCCAACCCTTAACTTTTGTCTTCTATTTTAATTATTTATTTTTAAGTTCCGTTTTATTTTTTCCTTATATATGACTTCAAAAATGACCATTACTACGTTTCCAGCATTTTTGATCTGTCAACTCAGCTACTGAGTTAAATTTACCTGTCAGTTTATTTACAGGATGAAAATACGTTAAGAGATGTGGTGAAAAAGTGTTGCAAAAGCCAGAAGAAAAACGAAGAACAAAGTAGTTCCGGAAAATTAGAAATGAAGAGACAGCAAAACAGAAAGTCTAAGACAAATAATACTTATTTTTTGTTGAAAAACGTTTACTTTTCTAAAATATTGTTATTTTTTCCTTTGTTAGTACATGTATTTGATTAACGGACCAGACGATTGACAGGATAAGGATTCTCGTCAATACTTCTAATGGGACACATCTTAATGCAAATGGCTTAGAAACTGTTGGTAGGATAAACATTAGGTTTTTTATATTTTCAGAAAATCCGTAAATTAAACAAAAGAGTTGTAGTGTTTTTAACTTATATATTTGGCATACTATTTCACGCACCGATTTCTAATACTTACACTATATAATGTAAATTAAAGAATCGTTTATATTTATCGAAAATTGATAAAATTCTATGCTTTTTCTAAGATAATCTATCTTTATGTATGGGCGCTAATTATGTCAGATAGCTACATGGATTTAATTTATATGATCCAGTTACTTAAATGGATATAGTTTTTAATTCGGAAGCTGTTATCTTTTGGAACCAAATCTAGGGTTATACACGATCTGATTTAAGTTAGACTACCACTGAAAACCTAGAATCATTGGACGGCCATTTCATCCTAGTATATGAGTCTTCAGCAGCGCGAATCCACAACCCTACCCTTGCGAACAGGACCTAGAATCTTCTATCTCGTGTCCGAACATTTAAACTCTAGACCATGTGCTTACTAGTGACTATCATTGAGAGGAATTTTCTGAAGTCCTAGTGAGAGACTGTGACGAGTGGAGCTAAACGGTATCGACCATGAGACAGTTACCCACCAAGGGCAGTGGAAGATGGTTATGCAATTTTGTGAACTGATCAAAGTAAAAAGTTAATACTGTTGGATATCAATTCAATGGTCTAGATGTTAAGCGTTAGCGCGAGGCCGTGGACGCGCACTGCTAAGTCCGTCCAATAATTCTAAGCTTTAGATTGTGATCTAAATAAAATCTATTCACGATTTCAGTGTAATGATCTAAATCTTACTGTTGATCAAATGTATTTTCTACAGATTTAATAGGCTAAAGCCCATAAAACAATCGACTCATGCTATCTTAGTATAGTTGAGAGCAACTCAAAAAGGTACTTAGTATAGGGCTGTACACTAATTTATTAAAACTGTTTATTGGTTACTAGCTAATGTAAGGATTGAAACAAACCTGTTCAAAGTATCTAATAATGATAACTATTTTCTTAAGCTTTACTTCTGTAGATATTACTTTTGTTAACACTAAGTAGAGTTGGTGTCGAAATAATTCAGCTGAAACTTGAGGTTGTAAATATACAAAACGCATTACTATATAATGAATAATATAATTGCTTCGTCGATATCTTCGTCATATCTTTTTCAATTTTAAAATCTAAACATTAAGGTTTGTTAATACGATATTGTTGGAACCTGAGATCGTAAGCCTCCATCACTGACATAAAAGTTCATCATTTCATTCAAATATTTCGCTAACCGATTTAACTAAATTTAATAGATAACTGAATTATTTTCATATTCTGTATAATGAAAAATTGTAAAACGTTTTGTGTTTAAAAAATAATGATGAAGAGTTAAACCGATTTTAATGTGAAATGAAAATGAACTCTGTTTTCATTTCTTACTTTCTCTTTTGAAAAATAAGAACAATAAAAATGTATAACTTAATAATTAATGAACATTTACTAATCGTTCTTCAGACAATTCATGAATGAAACATATAAACATGCTTAGTAATAAATAAACCATGATAACAAATAATAAGTGTGCACTAGATCATTAACCATTGTGTATTTATTTTGTTTTGTTTTAAGGAGTAATCAAGATAGAAGTTTAAAAAAGATAAAATCAATGAAGTGTTTCTCTTCTGTGCACTGCTTATACTTGTAATAAATGACATGATTGAACATGTTAAATGTTTTTTATACGTGTGCACGTTTGTGTTAAGAAAAAGTATTAATGTTGAATAACCTAAAGGTGTGGTGTGGAAATGATGATGTTATTGATGAAAGGCGTATACATACAATTTAAATATGAGGCTCTTACAATCTATGTCGTTTTAATACAATAAAAAACGAGAAGTGGAAGCGAAATGTTCATATTTTTCACAGTAATAATGAGTCAGTTACTTGGTTACTAGTGAAGAGTCATCTTAAATACTAAATTTTCAAGAACAGACACTGCAATGTAAAAATTTAAGTTTTTTGAGTTTACATGAGCACGGGTTAATGATACATAAGACAATTGTTTTATACAATCAATAAGATTGAACCAGTGATTTTCATATTGAAATTTTCTGGTATTGCAGGCATTAAAAATCAGTGGGTTTCGACAATGAATGACCTAATGTTGACCACGATTTGGGGCGCTTTTATTACTGAATTTATTCAGAAAGTTTAATTTATGTGAATAATGAGATCACCGTCTGACTGACTGGAATAAGCATTAAGTAAAAGCGCATAAATATTTTCGACACTAACTTGTGAACAAATTATAATTTTATCGTAACAATGTATGTCGAGGAAAAATCCAACGAAATTAGTTTCAATCACACCTTCTCAGAAACAGTTTAAATACTAGACGTATTTAGCTAAGTATTCTGGAACTTAAAACAGTTTCTGTGCTTTTAATCATGTTCCCCACATAAGAATTATTAAGGTTTCAATCATACTGTTTAGTACTTATTACTAAATTAGAATACATTGTTCGTTTTATGCAAATTCTATGCATACCGTTTCCGAAAAGTAGAAGCTATATATTAACATTAAATTGTGGTTAAACAAATTATCTTGTGTTCGAGAACTGGAAATGAATGCATGTTTAAATTCATCTCATTTTAGTAAATAAAATAATTTTAATACAGTACGAGGAATCAGTGACACTGGTACCAAGGTATACATAAAGTGCGGAATGAAGTATCATATAGCGAGTTAGGTAGAACACAACACAAATGTTTATTGTTTGGGAAAGCAACCAATAAAGCCACGAATGTCTGTGAAGATATTGAAAAAATCTCAAATCATGAAGAATATCCGTCTTATGTTACATGATGAATAACAAAATTCTGGGTTGATATTCTCTTTTTCCGTCAAAACTCACATCCTCAAATGTATAGCATTAAAATATTGAAGATCTAAATTTCATACTATTAATTTTCTCCTGTGTTGATCTGAGGGATGGTCAGTTGAAGCCATACACAATCTCACCCTCTTACATTGTCCATGAAAAGCTGATTGTGAAACGTTTTAACATAATGATTTTATAACTTTTAACTATGATAATTAGAATTTTCCAAGAATAGATGTACAAAAGATTTAATAATTATTTCATGAATTAGTTCCATTATTATATCTTAAGTAGTCAGATAAATTAGTATTGCTATCTCAACAACTGCCTAATTAACAGGATACTGAAATATTGGTAAGTACAGTGAAACAATAATATAAGTGAATAGTACTGTTGACTTTGTCAGAGTTTAGAAATCACCGACTGATGTATACTAAACTTTCATTTTATTTCAACCAAAAACTGATCAATATTAATTACCTTTTACTATTTAAGACATTAAACAAAATAATAAATCGTTTCCGGTTAGAGACACAAAAATTAATTATTTTAAAATAAAACATTAACCGATTGATCTCGGTTTATCGACTTTTCTTTTCCATTAGTTCAAATGCAAAGAAATAAAATTGATTTGAACAGATGGTTGGTAGAGAGGATAATTCGTTTTATTTTTATGTTCATAACCATTTATCCAATTTATTTTTATTTTCCTGATAAGTTTTTCTTTTTTAGTTTTTTTTTCTTAACAAAAATCCATTTAGATGATTTACTCATGCTCTAAATTTCAGACGAATTAACTAATTCATTTTTATCATTTAAATAGTTATTTCTTACCTATAAATGTATTTCTATAAATATGTTTATCAATACACTATTAAATCCATCTTATGCGTGGATATAACAAGCCTAAATCTAATCTTATAATAATTTAGTGTTCCTATAGGGGATTCGGCGACACTATAATTTATGGACCAACCAATCAGGTATAAGATAACAGATCTCGGATTTTGGCGCGAAATTCACTTATCTATTTGGATAAATTGAGTTTCGGCATTTTCGCCAATGTCAGTTCGTGATGAAAACCTTATATTTAATTCCTAATCCTAACAATCAACTGTAAATCATAATTCTTATTCCGCACACTGGTTTATAACTCTTATTTAGTCCTAGTTATTAGGTGGACATTCTCATGGTCACTTTAGCGTCGCTCAAAGGTCATCCATAAATTATAGTCTCGCCAAGGATTCTATTTATTCCATATAGAACTGTTTCTTTTGACTTTCAATCGTAATCACAATTTGTTTCAAGAAATATAAATATATATACATGTTTTACTTATATGGCAAGTTAATACGAAATTCAGAAACCAGTTCAAAATAACTATGTGAATTCACTAAAAAGAGCAAATCATTTTCGTGCATTACTGTAACTACATAATTCTCTATGTGTTGGATGACTGGTATATATATTTCGTAGTATAGTTATCGGCCTTTTTCCAGTTTGCTCAATCCTGACAACCTTAGGTGAAAAGATAGTGTTTTACATTACTAAAGAGGTACAAAAGCAAGGTTACTAATAAAATTGCTACTGGTCAGTTGAGGTTTTCAACCTAGCTATGGATCAACTTGTTTAAATTTAATGAAGAATACGGCTAATAGCTATATACGATTCCCGGTTAATGTTTAAGTAAAAGTAGCTTTTGGAATGAAAGGCGCGTGTTTTTTTCGTATTAAAATTGATTTTATCAGTGCTAGCCGATAAGAAGCATTTCAGTATAATCGTCACCCCGAACAATAAATTAATACTGTCTTTAGAAGTACGCTATACAGATATTTATTCGAGTGGTTGACTTTGCTTCCTTGTTTTGATTATATTATAAGAAGTAGGAGTGGAATCCGGGACGCGCGTTTCGTCCCATTTAAGTCTGTTCATCTGGATGTATCTGGATAACCCGTGGTGAACGTCAACTCTGGGATGCAGATACACCCAGCTAATGAGTTTCACTCCTGGACATCATCCATCTTTGCTTATAATGCTTGTGACTTAAGGTAATATCAAGACAATTCTCATAGAATGCACATGTGTCGATAAGAGAGTTATTTTAATTATTTAAGATTAACTTGTTGCAACATGATTATACGCATTAAATCGGTAAGTAAAATAACTTGGACCAAGTTCATTTTCAAAACTGTTCAATAGTAATAGCATAACTGTTCTATTTACAATTAACATCATAGTTAAGTGCATACAAAGACCAGAAAATGATTTTTTAAAAATACATTTACAGAACATTTCAATATTCATTATTTAAGCCTATTCTGTTCAATTCTCAATTTTTATTGAATAGCTCATTTACATGATTTGCAATAAGAGGATATGGATAGAGCAATTTAACAAATAAAGTTTAACACTTATGCAAGCAATAAACATTGCTGAAATGGCAATTAGAATTGAAGGCTTTCAGTTCTACTTTGTAAAAAACAACATAATAGAATTTACATAAATTAATTAGTATAAGTGAAGTTCATCATTTTAGCAACTAAATGATTTAATGATTTAATTTGATTTGATTTTTATTTTATGAAGATTCATCTTCATATGTTTTAAGTTTCTGTCATGCGAAAATAAGAAATAAATGGATAGAGAAATTAAACAAAACGGTGTTAATTTAATATAACTGCAAAACCATCATTTGGTTTTATAATTCAAAAGCATTATGACTAACAAAATTCATTAATAGAACTTAAGACGTTCAGTTAAATAATAGAAACCGTGGCTTCTCATGAGCTATGAGAAGGTTTTCTTTTGTCTCGTATACATTCTTAACTGTTTATATTT